ACAATAAGCACCAGATTTCCACCTTCATTACTCCTCTCCCGAAGCTCAAACTGGTACATTGAGAAATTACTAAGAAGAAACTAAGTGCAGAGAAAAGTTATGCGGGGAAGGCGCACCTTATATAAAAAACGCTGCCTGCATGCAAAACCAGGCACCTGTCGAAGAAGCTGTTGGGGAAATGCCTGTATGCTCCAGGGCTGGCATCTGCGTTTAGACGATCAGTTCTTTTAATAGAGTTCGCAGTGAAGGGCTGCGAAGGCGCTGGCAAGTTGGATGGGGACCCGCACGGATTTGTTCCCCCACTGCCCTGCGCGGATTTCTGGATTTCGACATTCCCCACTCCCAGAATCGGTTCCTGTCAGCCGCTTATTGTTCCCCGGCCGGAGGAAGGATCTCTTGGGCCAACTGCTGTCAAACTAAGAAACGCTGAACGGAAGGAGGGGAGAACCCTCAGCCCGAGCTTCCAACGTTTTGAACAAGACCTGTACTTCCGTTTCGGACGGATGGGGAGCGATGCAGTCCTGGGGAGATAACTTCTGCTTTTACCAGGGAAAAAAGCTCTATCTAGCAGTGTTTCTCAACCTTGGTAGCTTGAAGATGGGTGGACTTCAACTCCCAGAATCCCCCAGCCAGCGTTGCTGGCTGGGGGATTCTGGGAGTTGAAGTCCACCCATCTTCAAGCTTCCAAGGTTGAGAAACACTGATCTAGAGGGACAATAAAAAGGGAGCCAAACTTTCCGGATTTAAGAATGGATTTATTCTCTTTGAAGGCATTTTTTTTTACCCCAGGAGAGGAAGAAGAATCGAACTCTGCTCCAGTCTCTGCTGGAAAATATCTTTTTGTTGGGCCAGCTTTATATTAGACCACCAACAGTTTTTGCAAAAGCATGAGAACACCAAGAATTCATTCCTGGGATTCTGTTTCTCCTAGTTCCAACCCAATCCCACTTTGCCTTATAACTCTGAAAGCAGGAGAGCAGGAAGTTTTTAATCTTTTTGCAATTCTAAGGACATCATAAGGAAGACACCTGGCGTATTTGTCGTGCAATTCTCAGATCTTGTTTTTTAAACATCCCTTAATACTTTTCCTGCCAAATTGTATGCTTTTATGACAGGAATTTTATGCTTTTTCTATTTCCTGAAGAAAGACACTAACCTTTACAAATTGTTAAAAACTCAGTCTTCCTCTAGGCTTGTTTTACCTTTTCTTACTTTGTATAATATATCCCATCTGAATCCCAACCTACTGCATTATTTCAAATAATCTCAGGAATTATGAAGTTTGGTCGTCTTGACTTTTCCTTTCAGTCTTTTTCATCAATTCCTTTATATTGGGGAAGTTTCTCTTTTGTAATGAAATGTGACCATCTTGCATCTACCTTGTATTTCCCATCTGAAAGTATGCTAAACGTATTAGCATTATAGTTACTGTTTTAAATCATTGCATAATACTACTTTGCACTAGATCTCAGATATCACTTAAAATCAAATCTACGATAGCCTCAACTCTATCAGTTCCAAAGGCCAACTGTTCTAAAATCATAATATACAGTATCTAGAAATCTATTTCTTTCTCAAAACATGAACAGATCAGACTGAAATTAAGTGAAGTCCACCACTATTACATTTCGTTTGCCTGCCTCTTTAACTTCCTTCTCCACAAGATTACCTTCAATATTTTGATGTGGTTGATTTAGCATATAACCATATGATTTATAGTTGTGGCCAGATATTGTGACCTCTAGTAGAGGAACCTAGTCTTCTGCTGCAATATTAGAGTTTGTACTTACTTTGATATAAGAAATAACAGTTTCCCATATTATATCCTTCCTCGTGTTTCAGTAAAGTTTGCCTTCCTTCTTTGAGGGTTAAATACACTGGAGATGGCATGCTGTTATTATGTGCCAAGTTAAATCATATCCTATGGTCTATTCTGACAGTGTGAGTGAGATTATCTCAATAGGAGATCAGCTATTTTCCCTTCCCTTTGAACACAAGCAGAGGAAAATTCCCTCACTCAAGCCAAGTGCAAAGTTGTACCATCAACAGGAGCATGCCTATTATCAAGAGAAATCTAGAATGTGTGCATTCTTTTCTCTTATCCCATTCTAGCCTTTCTACAAACATACCTGGTAATTGGATTGGTGGAGCAGTTCTGTAGATAGAAAGCAAAATATAGCTATCAAAGTAGCACAAGATTCTACTGGCAGAAATAAGTAACCAGGTGCCTTTCAGATAGCATGAATTAAAACATTTTTTCATTGGCCATAGAGACTGTGACTGATAGGAGTTGAAGGTCGAATCACCTGCAGGGCTCCAGTTGCCTTTCCTGCTATCAGAATTCTGAGTTTTTTTGTAGTCTTGTAAGCCCTTGGTTGGGCAACCTCTGAAAAAAAAGTATAATTGTACTCTTCATAATCTTTTTCTACCATTTGAAAATTACATTTTTTCAAATATGTATCTTTTTATTTGCACATATATAGCTTAAAAATAAAGGCTCCTTCAAGGTTGAACTCAACCTTTGAAGACTACAAGTTTCTTACTGGTAACAGTGTGGAAGTGGTTTACCATTCCATTCTTAGTCTAATTATTTCAGTAGTGCTTTAAAAACAGGATTTCCCACCCAAAAAATGTTCTTTTGAAAATGTTCATGTTAACAATGTAGATAGTCTTTAAAATAGTAATACTTGATTTTGAGCAAAAAGAAAAAAAAATCTGCTTTGCAAAATTCATTATATAGTCCAGCAGATGGCAGTTGAGTTTCAATCGTTCAGTGTTCCTTTTCTAGATTTTTGCTATTTCTGTATTTAAAGAGCCAGCTTTGAAGAAGATGCCATCATAGAAATGATATACTTTATAACACATACTAAATACTTGATCTAATTAAATTGATAGAACTTCATCAACCAAGTTACATTAAGCATAATGTAGAACATTATTTATTTATTTATTTATTTATTTTGTCGCATTTCTATGCCGCCCAACTCCCAAGGGACTCTAAACAAATTGTGACAGGCTTAACTAAAACAGAACAACTATTCTATCTGAAAATCAGCTTTGAACTCTGAAATTGAATTATTAATTGTGAATTCTGGGAGTGCCAGTGAGTTCCTGTGGAAGTTTGAATAAAGCTGGATTATAACAAATGTCCTGACAGAAACGAAAGTTAAGATGCAGGATGTTTCTGGGAAAAAATAATTAAAAAGACCTCTTTTTTCTTATTATTCACTTCTCTACAGCATGGGATATAATATTGCAGTTACAGTCAGGCAGCCAACTCAAAACTAAATGCTGTAGTACTCTACAGAGAGCAGGGAAGGAGCATGGAAGAGAAAAGACAAAGAAAGTTTGTTTCTCTGACTATTTTTCTCAGCTTTTTCCCATTTCTAAATATCACTGTAAATCTCTAGTTCCAGATTGCCAGGTAGTTAAGCTATGAACAACAGTACCCCTTGGGCATTTATTCTAAAATTAACATTCAAGTACTTAATGAACAGCATGAAGCCAAAGAAGTTGATTGCAGGAACCACCAGAAATTAGTAAAGCTTATTCTGGACCAGCTGTCCCTCTGCCCAGCTTGCTGCTAACTGGTTCCTTTTGCCCTGCTTGCACAAGCATTATTTTTAAGGGCTGCCAGTTTCTCATCAGCCCAAAAGCTTTAAGAAAAGCTACTGTTCAGTGGTTCAGTTTGCAATTTGCATAAGGAAGAGCAAAATGCGTTTCATATTTGCAGAAGGAAAGAGCTCAGCCTAAGGCTCTAAAGAGAACCTGCTGTCTGTGTGTAGGGCAATTGCAAAGGTTTCTCAAAGGCTGCCTTTTTTCTCCATCAGAAGGGAGATTTTGGAGAGCCAGTGTAAATATTTTTTGACTGAAACAGTTGCCCTATCCCTTTCTTCTTTTTCTTCTCCGTTTTACAGATGGTTTAGGATTAATGGCATGAGATTTGAAGAGCCCATTTCCTGACTCATAAAGCCGATACTGCAGTTCACAAGATTTAATATGCTGTCCCAGAGGAGGTGAAGGTAGCATTACATCATTTCCATAGGCTTTGAAGATTGCTTTTATACAAAATAGAAAACAAGTTTTAAAAGCCCTTTGGCATACCCTTCACAAGATGATTTGAAACTCTGTCTGTGTGTTGTGTTTGTTGTTTTGAGAATATACAAAAAGCGTTCAGAGAGAGACGAAATTGCTTGCTCAAAATGAACTTCCAAGTAATAGTACCAAATGGGATTACTCTTGAGTAGCGACTCATCTGGAAGGTCACACGTCCACCACCCATTATTGCATAGTTTGGGGACTACTTTCAGGACAGTTCCGCCTGATGTCGTGAGCAAAATTGATTGTGGACAGACTGAAGGATGCGTGTTGATTGTCCTTTTGGCTTTCCTTTGGCTTTTGTTTTGTTTGTTATTTTTTGGTGACACTCAAGGGGTTCAGACTTGCTAGAAATAACCGTGTGGACGTCCCTTTTCTGGATCAAGACCGCTCTGCCTTTTCGACAACAACCTGACTGAATTCGCCGGCAGCTTCAAAAGCAGCACTACGTGGAACGGAGGTTGTCATGCAGGCGTCAAAGAGATTTCTAGCCGAAAATAAAGAGGGCAACTTTATACACGGGATTAAATCGCCCTGAACTCCACACGCTCGGCTGCCCCAAGTCTGCCTGCAGGAAACGTCCCCAATATGCCCGCGGCAAGGCAGGCAACTTGGCAAAGACCGCTGCAGCAGGAGGAGGAGGTAGGCAACAACATGGCTGCCTCCAGAGGAGCTGGCTGGGGAATTCTGGGAGTTGAAGTCCACCAGGCTTAAAGTTGTCAAGGTTGGAGAGCCCCGCTCCAGAGGAACCACACTTCCTCTTCCTCCCCCTCCCCCCAACTCCTCCTCCTCCTCCTCCTGCTGCTGCTGGGCGACTTGCCTGCCTCGCCGGAAGATCCGGGTCGTGAGGCGGGAGCAGGAAGTCGGGACGTGGCCGCCCAGCTGAGCACTAGGGGGTGAGGCAGGCGATGGCGGCCGCGGCGGCGCTCAGTTCGGAGCGGCTGGAGGTTTCCATTGACGGCCTGACTCTGAGCCCGGATTCGGAGGAGACTAGGCCTGGCCAGGCGGACGTTAGGCCGCTCCCGCTGGCTGGCAGCCGAGGGGGGACTTCTGGTCAGCCGGGGGGGCAGGTGAGGGACGAGGCCGGCGGAGACGGAGACGGAGACGGCGGCGGAGCGCTGAATCTGGAGCGGCGCTGGGGCTTCGGCCTGGAGGAGTTGTACGGCCTGGCGCTGCGCTTCTTCAAAGGTGACCCCGCCTTTGCCTCTTGCCAAGTCGGGAAAGTGACTAAAGTGTCCCGGCTCTCTGTCGACTTCCCGGCCTTTGCATCGTAAGAGGGTCTGTGGGGGAGAAAGCTTGGTAGCCTCCGGCCCCGACTCACATTCGTAGAGCCCCGGGAATCTTAAACTAGATGTACGTTTACTTAGTTGGTTTGTGTCTGTGGAGAGAGGCCGCCGTCACCCTCAGAAGCTTGTTGAGGAGCAAGAGAAATATTCCAATGAAATATTCTATTCGGTTTGCAGGGGGATATATATGAGGTACAGAAGTGACATTTAAGCAGGCTGCGAAATTGCTAAATGAAATATATTAATGTTTTCAAATAAGCCTGAATGGTCTTCAAAAGATTATGTAGCCTTATGCATACAGGAGCTATAAAATGATATATATTGCTTGCTCTTTTAAAATTGATTGCTGTTTTGGAACTATTGTTCGTTTGGACGTATGCAGTCCTTTCTGAAAACCTTTCCAGAATATTTTAAGGCTAGATATACTTTGAATAAAACCACAGAAGGTAATATAAAAGCAAAGATGAAGAAGGACATAGTTAGGAAAAGGCTTTATTCATTTTTGAATAAAATAGTAGGCCAAAATATAGCATGTGCTGCATCAAGTTATGTTATAAATCCATTTTTGTTGCTCATGTTCTGTTTACAAGTGCATGGCAGTTCTGCAATACTATTGCGCTTGGCCATTTTTATGTGTTGGAATCTATCTGAATTTTAAAAGTAATCAAGGAACAAAATGAAGAAGAGTTACTAAACTTTTACAGAAATTCCCAATATGTAATATCTTTGAATAATAGAGAAACATACAAAAATCCACATTTGGAATGAGTAGATAGTAAATTTATACCCATGAAATGTGAACTTTATCTAAAAAATAAAAATTTGACAAAAAAGAAATGTGAACTTTTGCTCTCATATCTTTGCTGTTGCTTTCAATATTATCTATTATGTAGTGCAGTCATATTCATTTTTATTTCAGAGCATGAAATAAGAATTTAGTATCAGATATGAGTAGGATTACACTTCTGAACAAAATAAGTGCTATTCCTGGGCATTTTGTACCTTTTATAATGTGATGAGTTTAACTTCAGATATCAGATCATGGAAAATGGTTGAAATACTTAAGATTTTGTTTCAGCTGTGAATTGAGACTTAATGCATTCTCAATATTTCTTTGCTTGCCATAACAAGTGGTAGACATAGAAATATTTAAATACTTCATTGCTGTTTCTTCTCCAGGAGGAAAATATTTATACATATTTTGGGCTCAAAGTGAGCCCAAACTGCCCATTTAAAAACGTTGAGGTAATATACAATATTCTATTATCATAAATATGCATTTCTTGAAATATACTGTCGCCTTTGAAGGTCAGCCTAAACAATCACCTGTGTAAGCTTTCTTAAACTTGTTCTTGCTCTCTTTTCTTGGTCTGTGAAAGGATAGGGGATCTACATGTACATAAGTTATTAGACCATCTAATAAAACAATATTTTCTCTGGAAAATATTGCAGTGACTATAACAAATACTACTTACCATCTCATAGTCCATTTTAAATCTCCTTTATAAACTCAGGAGAAAGTGCAATACAAACATGGAGCAAACGGCCATGCTGTAGCTTGTGGCTACTGCCACTGGATTCAAGAAATATGATCACTGTTACTGTTCTAAAAATGTTATATACAAGTGTTACTGAGCTATACTTGGAATACGAAACAAAAAGAATAAAAGTAATGTTAAGTAGAAAGAAAAATTATGGTAAATTGAACGTGGCAAAAGTTGGAAGTTTTAAGTTGGTAGACTATGTTGCTGTGTTACAGAGTAGATGATCTTTCTTTGGCAACTGTGGAGTTATCCTTGGGTGGTTATACAGACATACAGATTCATGAATGCACATAGAATCCTAGTACCAAAAGATTATGATGCAACAGGCACAATATACCTATTGTATTCTTTTAAAATAACAAGATAAAAACAGTATTATCCCTACTTATATTTTTGTGTGAAATATAGCTATGTAGAAAAGGGGAGGGAGGGAAAGAAAGTACCCATCTTTCTAATCCCTATTAAATCCAATTGAGTTTTAGGTAGGGTAGTAGGATATTACTATCAGATCTTAGGTTGCAGAAATCCTGATGGCAGCAGGTAGAATTCTGTACCTTCTTGCTTTCATCTAGTGGTTATCCTAAATTATGGAGCCCAGAACTGCTAATGTAGGTCCCTCTCTTTTGATATAATTGAACTATGACATTTCAGACAGCAGACGCACCATGGGTAATGTGAGAGAAATTTTATCTGCCATAAAATGTTTCACTGTATCCTAACAAGAATTCAGCAGTTGAGGTGTCTACTTATCAACCTTGTCCTCCTTCAGGATGAGCACTAATGGTATCAAGAAGATTGCTTCACCATCTCTTTGAGCTCCTGGCTTTTCCATGGTTTTTGGAGAAACTGACTATGTTCAATCATTATTGAAATGTATTTTGAAGGGCTTTTTTTAAAAAAAAGATCTTTGGCTCATCTGAGGATCACCTGAGCATGCTCATGTTTCAATTTCTTTCTCTTTTTTTCATGGTCTTAATTTCTTTTAAGTTTTGTCTTGTGTAGGTACTGACTTCTTTGTTATTGATAGAGCATAAGATAGTATTGACAAAAGAGCATATAATTATATTTGAAGGACACCCAGCAATTAAGCTCCTGGTGTGAATAGGTATTTTAATGATATTATTTGAGCAGATAAGGGACAGTACATACATTTCAGTTTGTTGGAAGGCTTTATTTCTCTTTTGTTGGATAAATAGGAGATATTTAAGCATATAAGTCTGTAAGAAAAAGGAAGATTTAGTGGGGAGAAGCAGGTTACCATTAGATTTTGTCACTTTATTGTCAGGAATATCATTTGAAGTAAATAATTCATAGGTACCAGTTTGGATTTTGTGCTTCATTAAACTTGTTCTAAATGGTACAAATTAGCATTGTTAAAATTGTGGTCCTTGAACTGCTGGAAGATCAAACATTCAATCTTAAAGGAAATCAATCCTGACTGTTCTTCGGAAGCTCAGACACTGAAGCTGAAGCTCAGATACTTTGTCCACCAAATGAGAAGAGGAGACTCATTGGAAAAGACACCAATGTTGGAAAAGATTGAAGGCAAAAGGAGAAGAGGACAGCAGAGGATGAGATGGTTAAATAATGTAATCGACACAATGAACATGAATTTGGGAAAACTCCAAGGGACAGTGGAGGACAGCAAGGCCTGCCATGGTGTGGTCCTTGGGATTGTGAAAAGTCGGACAGGTCTTAGCGACCGACAACCTACGTCTTCTGGGGCTCCCCAAGACCCTCTCAGAGGTTCATGGAGTCAGGTTTTTTTGCCAGCCTATGTTGAAAAATAATGTAATAATAAAATCCTACCAAACAATCATGAAAAGTAGTATAGGCAGCAAATGCATCTATTATAATTTTTAATATGGTAAATATTGGAAATATAATCTATATAAAAAAAGCTCTGTTTGGCGTCTTCCGTCATTTTTAAAAGTTGGGATTCTGAGAAAAAAGCGTTAAGAAACACCGGTATAAATAATTCCTAAATATAGGCATATTATCTGAAAATTAGTCCCTCATTAACGTTTATGACTGAGCCAGGAAATAATGTTGAGATAAATATACCAAGTAAAGTACCTCAAAATGGCAATCCAGGTTTGTTTTATTATAGTAATTGTCCATCCTTTTAGAGCCCAAGCGTAAGACAAAATGCAAATGGATTATAAAAACTTGGGAGGCTGGTTTTATTTTAAGAAAAATAATTCCAGATCTTATCCATCCAACTTCAAGCATATCAAAAAATCAAATAAAATGGCTTTGCAGAAGATGTGGTTAGAGAATGAACAGGAATTTCTCCATAGTGGTGGAGACAGCATCCAGGAATGGGTTGACCTCGTCTGTTCAGTTGATTGGACCTCGTCTGTCAAAGTTGTAATGCCACGCCTCTGTTGCTAGGGCTTCCCAGCTTTTGACCCAGTCCTTCAGCCTGGACAGACGTGTCAAAGGTTTCTCTTCTGAAAAGGATTATTCCTGGACAGGGTGGATAAAAATCAATGATTTTTTTAAAAAAATCAAAAAAAATCAGATTTTTTTTATTTAAAACGGATTTTTTTTATTTAAATCGGAATTTTTTTATTTTTATTGAATTTATTTTAATAAAAAACTTTTGGGGTAAAAATCTATCATAAGATAGTTTTCTATTTAAGATATATAAATAATTTAGTTTATTCAGCATGAAATGGAGCTTAGTTATGTAGCATGAGGCTGTATATTCTGCAACACTGGGACTATCGGTGAGTCAACAGTGGGTCAAAGGAGTAGCAGAGATGACAGTTGCTCTTTAAAAATTATGATTTAAATCGAGTTGATTTAAATCAAGCCTTTTTACTAGTGATTTAAATCATGATTTAAATTGTGATTTAAATCAACTCGATTTAAATCAAATCCACCCTGTTCCTGGATGCTTCTTCATCATTCTAAATAACATTGTGAGTTCAACCAGCAGTCTCCCATTCATGGTAGAGCCGCTGGGATATTCCCAACGGCGAGAGCTTCGGCTCAATTTCTCCTCTGTTGTCTGGCTTGAAATTAGTGTGGCCATATTTGAGACCTCTGATGTCAATGACAACAAGACCATGTTTTTGCAAGTTTCAGTGGGCATTCATATGGACTCTAGTATGATAATATAGTGTAACAGAAATAATTTTTTCTTTATTGTATAACAAAATAATTTGTGCACTTGCATCTTTGTTTCATGTTTCATCAGTCAGCATTTTTTCAAACAATAGCTTTTGCTTTTGTGTGTTTTGTAAATTTACTGAATGTACTATAATTGGCATATGCTCACAAAACCTTATTTCAAACGACCCTTTTGAAGCCAGATCAATGTTTATGGGACATAAATTTAAAATGGATGATATTCCTTTTCTGGTAAATGTTTAAAAATCTAGATTAAATTTGTGAAATGGTTTATTATTTATTTGCTGTAATTTTTAATAAGTTTTTTTCAGTCTTTCTATCTGTTCCCCTCTGTAAGCTCATCAGTCATGTATGTAAATAATTCATTAATTTGTTTTTTAATAATTAAAAGTAAAACTTGTTTACTAATATTTTTGTAATTATATTGTGTAATTTATATTATTTAATATAAAATAATACTTTCTATGTGTATTTTTATCCTAGCTGTATAGTTAAAAATAGGATTTATGTATTGCAACTAATAAAAGAACAGCACTTTGTTTTTGTAAAATCAAAACCATATTATAGATAATGATGCATATATATATATATATATAGATTTGTGACTTAGTTTATTGCTACGCATTATGTTTATTTTTATGAAGGGTGCTGGGTTTATAGCATTCATATTTTCACAATACCTGCAGAGTGGGTAAGCCACCCATTGAGGTTCATTACTAAATTGAGACTTAATCCAGATCTTTGATCCCAGTTCAGTATGCTAAGTTATCGCACTATATATTTTTTTTCAATAAAGTTCTTTGCCACATATGAGGTTGTTAAGTGAAACTACCATTCTTGATGGCTTTTCATGTAAACGTGTGCTGGGATAAGGTTGTACCCATGTTCTGAGTGTTCATATGGATTTAGGTCTCTGTAACTAGGATTGTTTTTCCTCTGAAAATATAAGTAAATCTTGATTTATTATCTTTCTTGGAGGTAGCCTTGAAAAAGTCTATTCACTCCTCAGTATTTTGCACTGAGCAACCAAATCAGCTAGCATGATTGATACCACTTTGAAGGACCGTTATAGAAGATATGACATTTCATTGTGTTCTTAACTATAAAATACCTAGCATTATGACATTTATTATTTATATCTTTAAATTTACTGTATCTTTCACTTTCAGAAAAAGATGGCAAAGCCTTTCATCCCACCTATGAAGAAAAACTCAGACTGGTAGCCCTGCATAAACAAATTCTGCTGGGACCTTACAATCCAGATACCTGCCCTGAAGTTGGATTCTTTGATGTACTTGGAAATGACAGAAGGTAAAAATATTTATAAATATAACAAATACATTGTTTTATTTGAGCAAGACATTTTAACCTAACCATGGGACTGTGGGTTGAAATATCTGTAGTATGGTGATTTCTTATAAATTCAGCACCTGAGCATATTTTTAAAATTCCTGGAGACCTAAAAAGTGGTTATTTATTGACAGCAGATTTGAATTTAATCGCTAAACTGAACTGTACATACATTTATTCTTGTTCTCACACAAGACAGAAATATGAATGAAATATTTAATGACTACTATATTTGTTATCTTGAGTAGTCATCCGATAAGATTTTGTTTAAGGTTAAGATTATATCTTGTCTTGTGGAATTCCTAGTATTCTGGGCAGAAGTACTGCTTTCAAAAGTATCCATGTTTAGAGCTGTTTTCTGGGAACGTTTTCCTGCCTAATTGTCTAGCATCAATTTAAGCATAAACTGTTGTGTTTATACTTAATTTGATAGAAATTATTTCCTTTTTATCCCAACTCATTTTATCTCATCATTGCAGGAAAGAATGGGCTGCGCTTGGCAGTATGGCAAAGCAAGAAGCTATGACAGAGTTTGTAAAACTCCTGAATAGGTGTTGTCAACTCTTTTCAACATATGTTACATCCCATAAAATAGAGAAAGAAGAGCAGGAGAAGAAAAGGTATGCTTTTGTACTTGTTTGGTACCAAGTTCCAGTTCACAAAGATTCCTGTGTCCTGGGGATCTTTTCTAATAATCTATTAGTTCTTATTATTTTGTAGCAGTCTTGATGATGAAGTTATTTGCTTTACTGCAATTTTTGTTTGCTTGCATTACAAGTATGAGGATTATTAGTAATATTTTAAATGTTGCTAAATATATGCTTGTCATCAGTGCATAAGAATCTTCGTAAATATGTAATGTGGTTTATAGTAGGATCAGTTCAGAACTCCATGTTCATTTACTGTGGTAGAAAAAAAGCATATTATTTAGTATCTTGCCCAATATCTTAACTGCTATCAAAAAGTTAAATATGTTTGCTTTCAACACAGATTTTGTTGCTTATTGATGACAGTTCCTTACAAAAAAATTCATCATGTGAAGAAACATATTTTGTCCTGTTTTGCATTGCACCAGAGTTCAGAATATAGTTAAGTTTGTTGCATTTTCCTGGTTTCTTGATAAACTTTCAAGTGCATAATAAATGATTTTAATTTTTTTTGTGATTGTTCTGTGTTGTGTACAATATTATTTTTGAGAAGAGGTTACTTAAGCCTTCTGTGTTCCATCTGAGTTGTTTTATAACAACAATAATGGCTTACTATGCAGCCATGATTGTGACTGATTCCAGGGTAAATTTCCCTAAGATTACAGTCCGAAAAATCACACTACAATAAAACCATGATTTAAAAGAACATTTGGAAGAAAGGGGTTCCTTTAAATCCAAATATCTGTTGAATTTAAATTGATATAATTGACATTGTTTGCATCAATTGACAAAAGTGATGCCAATTACTTACATATATGAATTACGTGAAATGCCTAGACTAGGGATCCCCAACCCCTGGACCGTGGCCCACTATCAGGCCGCAGCCTGTTTGAAACTGGACCATGGGAGAGATGAGCAAGTGTGCACGCGTGAAGCTCCACTCGCACAATGAGCGCTTGCAGTCATGCTCAAAGTTCCATTCATTTGAATGGAGCTTTGCATGCGAGCGTGAGTGAGGGAAGCTTCATGTGGGAGCACAAGCTCCCTCCGCTGTATAAGTGGCACTTTAAAAATAGTTTCTTTTTAGCCAACATTCTCAAAGACCCCAAAAAAGTACCTTGCAGGACAGCATCTGTTTTCTTGTGCTCCTCTACAGCAGATGACTAATGGAGGAAATATAACTGTTATGGTAGTAGCCATTGATAGTTTTATGGAGATAATTTTATATGAGTCTTTATTGTTAAATCCAGTGACAGATTGGAGGATAGCTACACTTGACTTGAAACTTCATTTTTCGTATTGCAGCATGAGAAGCTGTATAGAATTACAGAGTAATTAAGTGATAGATACAAATATTACAGGAGGGAAGAGGAGGAACGTAGGCAACATGAAGAGGAAGAACGAGAGCGTTTACAAAAAGAGGAAGAAAAACGCAGGCAAGAAGAGGAAGAGAGACTCAGACGGGAAGAAGAGGAGAGACGGAGGATAGAAGAAGAAAGATTCCGAATGGAACAGCAAAAGTAGGACTCAGTAATGTGTGATTTGTCATATCATAATTTGTGTCTTTTTTTAAAAAAAAGAGGTTTATTCTCCCGTTTATTCTCACATTAATAGAAATGCCACCTTGCCTAAGACCATACAAATAATTTTTATAAGTGACTAAATATTTTTAAAAGTATGTTTTGGGCCCTAACAAAGTGATATACTGAAGGTGTAAGCTGAAGTTTACAAGAAATAAACTTTGTAGACAATAGGCTTTAGATTCAACCTAATATTATTGACAGGCAAACCATTTTTGAGTTGATTTAAAATACCAAAGGCAAATCTATGAGGGAATTTCTAAATTTGGTAAATAAAAATTCTTCAAAGGTGTATCTAAATTTATGTACTGATGGGACTAGGAATAAGTCCATTGGAAGAGAGTTTTGCTAAGAAAGTTATAAAACTATAGAACTTGAAGGGACATTAAACCATCAAATTCAATAATGCAGAAATTTAAATTATTGCACAGTTATTTAGCTTCTGCTTCAAGCATGAAAGATGAATCTATCATTCTTCAAGTAATTGATTTTATTGTTAAACTATTAGAAAGTTTTTACCTAATGTTCAGTTGGAATATTTTTTCCTGGTATTTTGAATGCATGATTTCTTGACTTGTACTTTGGAATAATAAAGAATAGGCTCCTTAGTTTTTTATTCCTTAAGACTAAATAATCTAATTTCCTTGAACCTCTTTTCATGCAACGTAGTTTCTATTTCTAGATTCTTGCTCATCCTTGTTACTCTTCGTTGAACCTGTGTCACTTTATCTGAATTTTTATTCAAGTGTGATGCCTGAACTTTAGTACTGGAATTAGAATTCACTATTTACACTGAAAAGTTAATAACAATTGTAATACTTTTAGCATGAACTCTTGGAGTAACATGAAAAATACAAAATTCTCTAAATTTTTGTGAAATTGTAATTGGGAGGTGCTGTTAACTTCTTGTGCATGCATCACCAAAATTTCAAAAGCAAGCCTGAGAGAGAACCAACATTTATGTGACCTTTACTCTGGCAGACGTTAAATTCATTAAATGGTTTTTAAATAGAAAAGATAAAATATAGGGAGTTTTCTTAAAAATTAGAATTGGTGATTGCTGCTTTTGGAAAATTGAATGGAAGCTCTTTATGTTTTTTTTATTCTGAATCTGACCCTGAGATAATATGGATACTGCATGATACAGGTAGTCCTCGATTTACAACAGTTCATTTAGGGACTATTCAAAGTTATGACACTGAAAAAAGTGACTTATGGCCATTTTTCACATTTATGACAGCATCCCCATGGTCACGTGATTTACATTCGGATGCTTAACAACTGACTCACATTTATGATCGTTGCAGTGTCCCAGGGTCATGTGATCCCCTTTTGTGATCTTCTGACAAGTAAAGTCAATGGGAAAACCTGATTCCCTTAACCATGTTACTAATTTAAGAACTGCATTGATTCACTTAAAACAAATGTGGCAAGAAAAGACATAAAAAGGGGCAAAACTCACTTAACAAATTTTTCACGTAGTAAAATAAACTCTGGGTTCAATTGTGATCATAAATTGAGGGCTACCTGTAATAGATCGTAAGGCTTTCCCCAATATATTTGGTGTTTGTTCTGGATACAGAAAAGGAAATGTTGAGAAGTGAATTGTATTTTTAGATATTACGGAAAGCAAAAGATCTCATATTATTTGTATATATACTGTATATAATAGAAGTGATTATTTCTCATATTTTGCATGTTAGTGACATCAAGTAAGAACACAAATGTCTTTTTGGGAAAGGTGTGAAATACAGATTTTCTGACATAATTCAATTTTTAATTACGGCATTTGACTTAAGGCTTCATATTCCGCTTTACTCTCATGTAAACTTCACTAATATGTTTTAGAAATAAAATTTAGTATGCTTGAATCTAGTTAAATAGCTGCTCTTATGTCTGCAGAGTTATTTACTGGGGCCCTTTGTTCTTTAATCCAGGCAACAGATAATGGCAGCATTGAACTCTCAGACTGCTGTCCAGTTCCAACAATATGCAGCCCAACAGTACCCAGGCAACTACGAGCAGCAACAAATCCTAATCCGCCAGCTCCAGGAGCAGCATTATCAACAGTATATGCAACAACTTTATCAGGTCCAACTTGCACAGCAGCAGGTATAGTACACCATGGTAACAATGTATCTCTCAGAATAGCAGCTTTTTAATTTTCTGTTGAAACTGAAATTACTAAGCTATACTGTAGGTACTTCTGAAGCTAGAATAAATTATAATAAGAATAAATACTTATAAAGCTAGAATAAATTCTAATAATATATCTTACAGCCAAGTGGCAGCACCTAGGCAACTAATGGCGACCCTGAAAAGCTAAACGAGTTCCAGACTGACTAGTGTTTGGATGGGATTTAGGAAATCCAAGGGCTATAAGATAAATTGGGAATTTGAAAGAACATCTTGGAAAAAGATGGTGGCAAATCATTGTTGTATTATTACTGAGAAAACAATATGGATATATTCACAATCACCAGGAGAGCTTGGTATTTTATGTATGAACATAAATATGGTCATGTAATCACCAGGAGATCTAAATAATGATTGTGTGTGTTCTGCTACAGTTTTTAAAATTCTGTTTAAATTATACCTAATGCTTACATTAGGTGACTCTTGTGAAATACATTGCACACTTTTATTGATTTTGCAATAAGTGCTTTTTTTTCAATTTGTAGGCAGCTTTACAGAAACAGCAAGAAGCAGCTGCTACAGCTTTAGTTACATCTGTATCAAAGGCAAATTCAGCCACTGCAGGGGAAATCTCATCAGTCAATGGGCAGGCTAGTGCACATCCAGGCTGCCCTGAAAAAGACCCGGAAATAGATGCTTTAGAAGAAGCACTCGAGAATGGACCAAAAGGTATGACTGATGTTTATTGGACTCTTTCAAAACACAATAAATAGTTTGAGTATCTAGTATCATAATTACTACAGAATATAGTAATTATAAGCAGAGACCTGCTTATTTTTTGTTTTTGACTAAAGCCTGTATGTCCACCCTTTGTAATGATTGGAACTAGTGGCCTGCAGATCTGTGACTTACTGCCATGTAACCACAGAGTGCAGAATCCTATTCACAGACAGAAATTGGCTAAATAAAAATCAGTGGAGGAAAAAATGCAGTTTCTTATGGTTTTTCATTTGGTGTTTCAAGGTAGCATCATAGGAAACTGCTTTATTACTGGACTATTACTACTGCTTAGCCCAATATTGTTTACACTGACCTTGGCTTCTCATCTGTACCAAGATAGGACATGGCATATGGCTGGAGATTTAACCCTTGTTTACAGACAAGCCTTTAGGTGGTTCAAACCTGTGGATGCTATGTGGTTTTGGCAGAGTGAGACTGCTTTCCATTTAGACCTACTAAATAATTTAGAAAGTAGCCCTGTAATATCTATTGATATAGCACCCCAAGAAAATTCTGTGGGAAAATGTAAATTGCTTAGTTTGTTTCACTTCCTTTTGTCCCCTCCTTCTTTTTAGAATCAGTTCCAGTAATAGCAGCACCTTCCATGTGGACACGGCCCCAGATTGCTGACTTCAAAGAGAAGATTCGCCAGGATGCAGATTCTGTAATCACAGTGGGCAGAGGAGAAGTAGTGACAGTTCGAGTTCCAACACATGAAGAGGGCTGTTATCTTTTCTGGGAGTTTGCTACAGACAATTATGACATTGGTTTTGGGGTATATTTTGAATGGACAGACTCCCCTAACACAGCTGTCAGTGTTCATGTTAGTGAATCCAGTGAAGATGAGGAAGAAGAAGAAGGTATCTTATTTATATATCTAGCAAAGGTTTAAACATGTTGGAGACTCTCTCAATTTGTCACATCTTTGTTTTACATTATTGTTAGTTTTTTAAAAAACCCAAACCAAATCCTATAGGAAATAATAAATGCTGGAATAATCTTTTTTTATCCTGGTACTTCCAAAGATGTTTGGACTGTGATTTTCAGAATGCCCAGCTGGCCAGTGGGTTAAGTCATTGTGGGCTGAAGGTTATTAATTGGGAAGCAAGTTGAACAAGTTAATATTCCTTTCACAATTATTGCTGTAAATTACCTTGATATTACAAGGTTCTTCAATTACAGTAGCTGTCCCACAGTGCTTTACAATAAAATTTCTTAGCTTGGGAATTTAAAAATCAATGTGGGAAAATAGAAAAATTCTTCTTGAAGTATTTATAGTCCCCAGCATCCATTCTAAAAAAATCAGACCATTTGTACCTTTCTAGCAAACATAAAATTTATATTATATAGATTACCATCTAGACTCCAAGTTGCATGATTTTCTCTGCCATCATTTTTCAAATCCTCTTACCAATTTCATTGCCTTCTCAGTTTTCTTTTTTATCATTGTGATTTTCAAATTGATCTTTACTGTCCAGTAATCTTCATTTACTGTACAGTCTCTGTGTGATATTTTCTTCATTAACTGCATTGATGAGCAATTGACCTAACATTTACCCCTCATTGTGTGAGAAAAACAGGTAGTCCTCAGGTTACAATGGCAATTACACTGGGGTTGTGTTATGTGAACATGCTGTACAGTTGCCATCGTAATCCAGGACATTGTTAAACAGGTAATCAAGCAGGGCCATGCAAATGCAGGAAGTAGATAAAGAAAGGCACAGTGCAAATGCAGAAAGGGAAGGGAAGGAGGGAGGGAGTGGTGTGAGCCCAGGAAGGCTGGGAGGAAAGAGTGTGGTGCATGCGAGTGCAGTTGGAAGAGGACTTACCTGGGTGACTTGTGACCTTCGCTGCTGATTTCCCCATTGACTTTGGGAAAAGCTGGCAGGGAAGATGGCAAATGGTCATCACTTGATTGTGAGGGTGCTGCAACCAGTCATTTAGTGCAATTTGGTTATCAAGCACCCAAATTGCAATTGCATAACCACAGGGGCACTGTGTGGCCAGAACTTCTAGGACTGATCTGAAGTTTTAGGTGTTCAGTGCTGTCACAATTTTGAACAGTTACTGAATGATTAGTTGGTAAGTGAGGACTATCTGTAATTGCATAGCAATTACAGTTTCCTAAGTTTTGACAACTTCAAAGGACAAAACAAATGAGTATTTGTGGGTGCTAGATAAATGTATATGTGTTCTTTGCTAGTTGTGTGTTTAAGCTAGAATCTTAATTTACATGCAACTCATAACACAAGCTTGCAGGATAGTTAACTCAAATTGTTTCATTTGCACTAATTTAATTTTGAATTGAATTAATTCAAATTTATTTATTTATTTATTTATCAAATTTATTTATTAATGAAATAAGTATTGACATTTATGGAGGCCATCCTTTGACTATTCCTTCATGGGAGACAACCTTTTAGCAACTTTGGTTATATTAACAAATACCCTTTCATTTCCATTTCCAAAAACTGTAGGAAATCAATGGTATTACAACTAGGCCAGTTTTGCTCCCTTATCATGAGGACGATAATTCTGCTGCACTTTGTTGTCCTAAAAAAAATGGGATCAAGATTTTACTGAGAAATCACTTAAGAGTTTTTGAGAATTGTTTTATTAACATCGCCAGTAGATATCTAAAGAAAGGTTCAAAACTATGATCTTCATGTTATTAGGCCCTGATAATAGTAGAAAGGGAAACTTCTAAAAGTACAACTCAACTATAAAATAAACGAATTAAATCTAACACTTGTTATTCTGTATTTACATTAATCAAAAGCATTCATTCATTAGTTAAGAAGATTGCCCCAGATTGCAGTGTGTGGATTACCAGTAATTTCAGTTGCTTCTTTGCAAATCCTGGTATCAGAAAGTCATGCTTTATCTCATACTGTGAATTGTTTTAAGGTTGGATTATTTTTATTAATGATTGTCTATAAATAATTGGGATTTATTTGGCATTAATGCATGCAGTAATTAATACTTTATTTCTGTCTCTTTCTCAGAACATGCTAGCACTGAAGAGAAAGCCAAAAAGAATGCGAACAAACCTCAGCTAGATGAAATAGTGCCTGTGTACAGAAGAGACTGTCATGAAGAAGTGTATGCTGGCAGCCATCAGTACCCAGGGAGAGGAGTCTATCTTCTTAAATTTGACAACTCTTACTCACTATGGAGGTCAAAAACAGTTTACTACAGAGTGTATTATACTAGATAAAGATCTTATATTGTTGGAGGTTGGGGTGGTGCGGAAGACATCATGTTATTTGGAACTTACATCGAGCATACTGGACTATTTGACTTCGTTATCCTGTTTAATGTATCTGTGGTTGTGTGTGCGTATGTGTGTGCTTGTTAATTTTGATACTGGGAATGAGGCTTTTATCTAACGATCATTATAAATGAGATAGGTGGGGCTAGGATCTCCCATTTTTTCCTGGTGATGGTTCTTTGCCAGAAGTCAAGACAAAAGTCAATTGAATTTATGCATTGACTTTTAAAATGCTTTCAATTCTAAGGCACGCATGCACACACGCACACACAAACGAACACTGGGAGATATTTCATTAGTGGCAGTCATGATGTTGCCTGATGTATAAACTTTGAACTTTTAAAAACAAAATCTGTTAGCTGTTCATTTGATGGTACCAGCCTTACTTGTGGGGAACAGGGGAGTTGGATGCCATCTGCACTGTAGCAAGCAAGTTTCTTAATACTGTATTTGAATGTCAGATTTTTACACCATTAAACTTGAAACCTTAGTGGATGCAGTTTAGAAAAGTATTTGCTGTCTGTTCTCATTGAAAAAAATATTTGGAGCCTAGAATAATATGATTTTGGATGAGATAAAGAAATGTGTGTGTGTGTGATGTGCACGCATGCAAGCAAGTGTCCTTGTCAAAAGGTGTGCACGCCCATGAGTATACATATACATAAATACATGCATATGCTTATACCTATATACATCAGGGATATTTTGTTTGATCACAGGCTTACAAAGAATTGATTTTGGGCATCAAGAAAATAACAGATATCTGTCTTTCCCCTGTATCTGCTGCTATTCCTAAAATTGTTTTGTGTATTCTTCTTATTTTAAAACAAAGAATATCTTTGTTTATCTCACCTAAAATTAATGAGATCCACTTTTGCTTTTGAAATTTGCAATAAAACAGGTATATTATGTATGAGACATTCCTTTTGGACTACATGTCTTTTGGAATTGTATAGGTAAATGTCCTAATACATAATACTTCATACTATTTTTTCTGTGCTGGTTTTATAATCTAGGGATCTTTTCCTAATTTTTTTGAAAATTGAAGCTTCCACATTCACTTTATGCATTATCAAAGAGAGTTGCATTATTGTAGAATAAATATTGCACTAACGTTCTTAAAATCACTGCCAGGCTCACCCTTATCTTACTTTTAAGTTACTTTTGATTTTCCAACACATGCCCTCTTGTTCTTTCACAAGTAATATTCCAACGTTCACATTGAGGCTAGACCAAAACTAAAATTACATATTTGCTCAACAATGACTAAAAGTGGGGTTTTGTTCTTTATTTTCAGTTATATAACAGTTTTTGTATGGAGTATGCTTCCCAAAGGCAAGGTAGGAGTGCAGGTGTTGAACAGTTTGTAGAGATGTGTTATGCTTGACTCCCCATCACCAATATCTCTTTGAATAGGCTGACATACATATTCGTTCCACTGCAAATAAATCTGTTGGTATTTTAGACATTCTGTTTGAATATTTGTATATACATGATGTTTTTCCTTTCTCATATCTCTCATAAGATAAGAGTTATCTTATTTGATTTACGTTTTAAGCTTCTGTCCAACTAATGCTGTCCGGACAGCTCTGTTCTAACATGTTTCCTCATGTGTACATAATACTGTATAAGCAATGGAATTGAAAAGTAATTTGCTTTTTCAAAGCTGTTATTTTAAAAAGAAATTAGAGGTAGGCATTTATTCTGTTCCATTTGTTTTCATCCATACAAATTATGATCCAAAACAAAAAAAATATGTTGGAGAGCAATACTTGTAAACAACAGCAATTTTTTGCTGTCAGGCTTTGTGGATACCCAAACTCCAAAAGTTGCCTCTTACTGTTAAATAGTGCAGATAAGTGCGCGTTCAAGATATCTTGGAATAATATATTTAATCTGAATTAAAAATTATTATATGGATCTTCTGTCTTTTTCTTAAGTTCTATCAACATTACTTGGCTGAGGGAAAATAGATATAATACTAGATATAATACTAGAAATGTACCTTTAATGAGCTCTTTTTAAACTATATTTTTAACTCAGAGATTGTCAAACTATGTTTCATTAGCATGTATTTATTTTTATATATTTCTTCGCCTGTTAACATAAGTTTAATTTGCATGATTTGCCCATAGCTTCAGAAACATTTCTGCCTCCAGAGTTAATTAGGCAATATTGCCAGAGTTAAATTGAAGGTTGATATTGAAGAGATGCTAAAAGACAAAAAAAAAGTAAAAGAAAAGCTGCTGTGTGGATTGCTAATATGAAGCCACAGATGGGGGAAGAGAGATAATGTATGTCACATCACCCATAACTATCATTGGTTTTTTTTAAAAAAGTGCACTTAAATACTCAAAACGAGTTGTATGAAAGCCATATAAGAGATCCAGGTCACAATTTGGGGTCCTGAAATAGAAGCTAATGCTGGCAACATTCCACCAGCCTCTTCATATGAATCTACTCAAGCCAGTCTGCAAACCAGGAACAATTGTGATTCAAGAAGGTACAGAAAATAATTCCAGAGACGTAGGCTATTGAACCAAGCCACCAAAACTTGAATAACGTTGGATATACTTTAATAATTTTCATGTCACCTACCATTCTCATTCTAGTTGCAGGGCTTAACCCAGCCTGCAACAGATGAGATGTACAAGGAACCAATATTCTAAATCTGTTCATTTCTTTGAAATCAGAACACTTAACAGAAGCTAGGAATGTAAGTGCATTGCTGCATGTCCCGAATGAGTTGTGTGTTTTTATCATACTTGTAATTTTGGGTACCAAAGGTACTTCACACATTTCAATGAATATATGTGAAAAGAATTTTTCCAGCCAAATCTCTTATCTAAAAATCCAGGAATCTTTCTTGTAAACATGATATCTAATATCTCTGAAGATTCTCAGTCATCCAGGTTATGATTGTCTCAAAGGTGCTTTTTTTCAAAAGGCAACGACTATATTTTTTCCTTGAGGGAGAAATGTTTTTTACATTTAGGAAGAAAACATTTCACTTGTCATCCAAGAAGCTTCATCAATTCTGACTGGATAGTGGGGAGATGGAAGGATTAGTTCTGACCATCCTTCCATCCCACACACCATACCACCTTTGAGATGGTATCTAGTACAACATACTATTTAATCCCCTGTGTAATTTTCAAACAGTACTAAAATATAATTGATTATATCTTGTATTGAGAACCAGTTTGGTGTAGTGGTTAAGGCACTAGGCTAGAAAATGGGAGACAGTACTAGTCCCACTTTGCACATGAAATGAGCTGGAACGATTTTAGGCAAGTACTCTCACAGCCCTAGGGGGTGCAGTGGCAAACCACTTTGGAAAATGTTGCCAAAAAAATAAAAACCTACAGGGGCTCGACAGTTGCTGACTCAACACAGATTCAAAAGGCACAAAAAATAACACCAAACCTTTGTGTTTCTTTAAAATAGTGAATGTCTATTTTAAAATCAAATTTCTCTCCTAATTGGTATAGATTATATAGTTTATATGGGAAATAATTACTTAGAATTAAAAGATTAAGTTGAAAGTTCAAACATCTGCAAGAAAAAAAATGGGCAGCTCCAAATAATATACATGGAAAGCATTAAAAAAAAACATTGATTTTCAATGTGACACAATTTTTCTATATGATAAATTACAGCTGTGGATGATTTAGTGATATAATTAACTCGAGAGGATTAATCTAATTTGTGATAATAAAAATTATCAGGAGGGTGATATCAAGTCATCCTGAACTACTCCTGCAAAGCTAGATAGGAAACAAAAGAAATAGCACTCTATTAAAAGTTTTATCTAGTGTTCTAAAACAGATACAGTATTAAAAAGCAATTTTAAAAAAATCACACAAATTGAGATTTAGCCATGCTTGTTGTTGAGAATGAATGAGTGGGTGTGTACCTGTGTGCTTTTCCATCTAGCTGAGGAATAAATATGAATGTTAATGTTGGCTAACATGTTATCAGAAGCCTAATAACAGTAATCCACATGCATATCTCTCAACCTTTGGGATCTTGTATTACACCTGACAAGATGACAAAAAAATGGAACTACTCAGATAAATTACAGTGGCCAGATCTTTTAGAAGAACATATGTCTTTATATTTAAAAAGTGGAAAATTATTACCAATCCACTTACAAGCAAATTTATTTCTTTTTAAAAAATAGCAAAATAATATTACAATATAAGATTTCATTCAAAATAGAAAGGTAATGGATGTAACCCTGTGTCAGAAAGCCTAACAGTCTAGCGCTAAAGATCATACAGGTAGTCCTTGACTTACAACCATTTGTTTAGTGTCTGAAGTTACAACGGCACTGAAAGAAGTGACTTGTTTCATACTTACAACCATTGCAACATTCCCCTGCTCATGTTTCTAAACTCCGACACTTGGTAACTGGCATGTATTTATGATGGTTGCAGTGTCATGGGGTCTTCTGAGAAGCAAAGTCAATGGGCAGCCAGATTCACTCAACAACCGTGTTTAGTAACTTAACTGCATTATTCATTTAATGACTGTGACAAGAAAGGTCATAAAATGGGGCAAAATTCACTTAACAACCATCTTGCTTAGCAACAGAAATTTTGAGCTCAATTGTAATCCTAAAGTGAGGACTACCTAGATTCTGGTGAAAAATAGTATTAAAACTATCATAAGCCTTCTGATTAAAAAAATCAGGGTATTAACATACCGGTATGTTAAATCCTCCCTCCCTGGTTTAATTCTCAGAAGTTGTTAGAAGCATATAGACATGAACAGAAACCAAGTCCCTCAGAAAAGGATACCGAATATACTTCACACACAACTGGTATGCCAAGATGAAACCCCTGCTTTGCAAGGTGTTTTGGTAGACCAGGTTATTTGAGGGACTTCTCTTCCTTGATTTCTGCCTGGCTAGTATATGCCAGCACTTTGGTGTTATGCTTAAGTTCCTTTGATCAAAATGTGCCAGGACCCCCGTGCCTTCTCTGTTGCTGTGCCTACCCTCTAGAAATGACAGCCCTCTTGAAATGTAGGTGGCTCCTACCCTGTTGGGGTCTCATGAGGCTAAAGGTTAAAATGTAGGAACCCCTTATTTGTCTCGGCTTTGTGTTTTTGTGTGGAGCAACCAAATCCCATCTTATTTTGTATTGTATTGTGTTTTTACAGTTTATTATATTGAACTGTATAGAGTCAGTTTGAAATCAGGCAGTGCCTAAACTGAAATAAATATCCATATCATTCAATTTTATCAGCTCTCCTAGACGGCCTCATAATTCATCTAAGTGGTATTTCATTTTATTTAATATATTTTTAGTTTATTTTCATCCACACCCTGTAGAACTATGCCATCTAAAAGATAATACACCAAAAAAAAAAAGAGAGAGAGAGAGACGGAGAAGGGAAAAACAAATTCAGAAACTAATTCTTAAAAGTTTCTGTTACTTAAAAATGAAATCCAGGACAGCTTTATACATTGCCCATGGTTTCTTAACCATCATTTTGTTGAACAATCATCTAATACAAACCTTTATAATTCCCAGTAGCCCCATCCAGCATAGTCAATAGTAATGGATGCTTTGAAATGTAGTTCAGTCACATCTTTAGAATCAGAATCGGAATAGAGCTGGAAGGAACCTTGGAAGTCTTTTAGTCCAGTCCCCTGCTCAAGCAGGAGATCCTATACTATTTCAGACAAGTGTCTGTCCAGTCTCTTCTTAAAAGCCTCCAGTGATGAAGCACCCACAACGTTTGAAGGCAAGCTGTTCCATTGGTTAAATACTTTCACTGTTAGGAAGTTTCTCCTTAATTCTAGGTTGCTTCTTTAAAGTTATAAGATCCCTTTTCCTGCACTGTATAAATGTTGCTAACTTTAGATAGCTACATTGGAATAAATTAATAAATACACAGAAATAATATTCTAGATATTCCACTAGTCATGTTATTAAAAGCAATTAAAGTAAAATACACTGATTAATCTTTAGCCGAAAGTAGTTATCTTCAACTTCTGTGGATGAATCAAGGTTACAACTCAGAAGGATTGGTTTTTCTCTTCAATCCAACCAGTTCATTGTGGAAGGCTAAAATCTGTTGAGTAAAAAAGAAATATTAAACGTGTAGCTTCTCTGGGCTGCCAAGAGGTTGAGCCCTGTTTTCCTTGGCTCTCAGAACGTAAGTATTGTGCATATCGGAGCCTGCACACAATGCTATCCTGCAGTTAATCCAGGCTCGCAATTATCTCTCCACTTCATTTCTCTTTTGTGCATATTTAAGGCCTCCAGTGAAAAAGAATTCTCCTCATCACCCTTAGGAGGACTGCCTCTATGATTGACCTACAGTTGAAAGCTAAAATGAGGTTTTGTTGGCAACCTATTATTAGGACTGAATTAGTTATTTGAGGCCCTGGCTGAATTGTATCCAGATGGTTAATAACCTCATGTTACTTATTGGTAGACTTTGAATAAATTATGCTTTTTAGAACCAATTCATTTTTGGTTGATTTAACAATTTCATATCTTTCATAATATTCCCCACCCCACCCCAAAATGGAAGAAAACCTTGCCCTTGGTATTTCAGGGTACGTAAGAAAGAAATGTTGCGTGACTAAATTCAAAATATTTTGAACTTTCTGGGGAATAGAAAGGCAGTAGTGTGTAGTATGGTATGGCAGTTCTGAAGAATACACTTTGTCAGATCTGTGAACGAGTTGGTAAACTGATTCCTTCCAAATATTCTGGATTACAATTCTCACATTTCCCACTTAGTGAGAATTTACCACTAGCTTGCAGAATCCTCTCCTAGTTTTTCTTCTCTCAAGGCCTCATCCCCTGTTTCTGGAGTGGCAGACTAAGGAACTTTCTGCTTTTGTCATTATGACAATATTGTATTGCAAACTCTGCCCCTTTTAGAAAGGGCTGAGCAATG